CCCACTCTTGTGCACAACCGTCGTCGGTACAGCAGCGGCGCTCTTTGCGTCCATTATAATATATTATTTTCCCTCCAACGCCATAGCCAGTTATCCACGGTGGCATAGTCCATTTTCATCAAGTCCTACCGCCACCACCACCGCTCTCTGTATATATAACTTGTTGAATAGACAATTAATTAAAAACTGCCGTTCAAAAGTCCGTCGGATGTTCGTTTAATATATATATATACACGTACGTACGTATGTCTGTATATAATATGTTATGTATACATAGTGTATATAGGTATATAGTTAGTGTATTCGGTAAATACCTATATATACGTTCAAAGTAAACATCATAGTCCACACAGTGGCGGAGATGAGTCTCATTTCGTCTCCCACACACCACTTGTAGTCCGAACGCACCTTATATTTTATCCCTCCGCGACTCGCCATCTCTTCTATTCGACCATTTCATAAGCCACTTTATACTCCTCCCCCCCATCCATCCTATCAACAATCATCGTCTTCGGTTATTTTCTGGGTATGCCGGAGATGGTGTGACGCGTTTAGACCGTTGGTCGCAGCTATGTAGGTGTAGAGAGGGCTGCTGAATCGAAAGCACTTCGTATTCTCTACCCCCTCCCCCCTCGCCATCCGAAAATGCATATACAAGTATACTACTGTGAAGAGAAAAAAAGCAATTGGCGTACCATGACAGCTAATTTTACGACTTCCTTTCAATTTTTATTTTCCCTTTTTTTAGATTTTTTTTCTTGATTTTTATAGCAAATTTCGAGTGTTTTTTTTTTTTTTACTTTGTTGGATAGTCGAAGAGAAAAAAATTACTTTACTAAATAAATCCTCCTGCAAATGTCGAAGATAGGAATAATATATATATATAATATATGTACCAACTGCAGCGTATAATCAATGGTTGTTCGACCAATTGATTTATTGCGAATAGCGCGAGAGACGAATTCGTATTTCACCGATTCGATATTTCATTCGAGCCTAGAACTCAACGCGCAGACGTCCTCCAAACCATTACGTACATTATATTATTATACATACGATGAACGGCCACGTAAGTTCATTCACACACTCACACGCGTGCGTGCGCCRACATATGAAATGCGTCTTATTATATTTTATAAATAAGAAATGATATATTTTTACATTATGTGTAAAACTGTATAGACTGTCAATGTATATCAACACGAGATAAAATCGTGTAGAACGCTTTGACGATTTTTTTCTCGCCGATTTTCGATTCGTAGATTTTCATTAAAATGTATAGATACAAATAAATGGGATTAGGACTCAGGAGTTTGGAAAGTTTTACGCATTCACGAACAATAGTATGCAGCCTGTGAAATATAAATATGTCAACGATTATTCGAGAAATGTCACGACTAGAAAAGCAGAAAATGGTAACACGCTGTTTCATAAATTGCCGATTGCAAGTATTTTACGAATCACGCACGAATTATTTTAGCAATACGGTGTCTATTCGTCGACTATCAACGCCATTGTCATCTGCAAACTACAGAAAAAAATATGCTACGATCAGATCAACTTGTGTTTTTTTTTTTTTCATAAAAATATTTAAAATTGAATAATCCTATAAAACTAATCAAGTTTGTATAATCGTATTTAAAAAAAAAATAAAAATATTAAAACATAAGATTTTATAAATATTGTAATTTGTATCAAAAACAGTGCACAGAAACATTTTCAGAATAATGATTTTTGAAACAAATAAATTATTTGATACGTGAAAGTGAAACCTAAATCATATTATAATCTCACCTGGGTAACGATACTTAATTTTAGTAAAAAATAAATTCAATACCATCTCCAACTAAAAATTAAAAACATTTTCACCAAGCAAAAAAAAAAAAACAATTAAAAAGCTGACTTTTTTTAAAATTAATTTTACATTATTTCACAATTTTTAATATAATTAAAAAAATAAAATTTGAATAGCTATAGTATTGATTAGGTATATTTAAATACTACTGACAATGTGACAAAAGCATATTATGATAATTATAATACTATACCAAAATATTAAAGCAATGAATATTTCACTATATATTACCTTATTCATATTTTCCTTCTAAAATTAATTAAAAATTGATTAGACCATGTATATTTGTGATTTGAAAAATAAGTTTCGTTCAAATTACAAACATAGTAAAATTTTGATTGAAATATCACACAAGTACCTAATAACTATCTACTTATTATTATAACTAATTA